GGCCAAGACTCATCTAGATTTGGGTGTTAGTAATAATGTATAGGGGATTGGTTTGATATTTAATCTATTGGATATATCAGAAGTTAATTTTGAAACTAATTGAATTAGAAAAAAGAATGTGTGATACAGAAGGAACAGGATTTAATAATAAATTATAATTAGGAAGTTGGGCTGTAGATCTTAAAATACAGTAGAGAATTCAAATTTTGTGATAGATTTGTTGATTAAGATAAAGTAAAAACTTTATAGAAAGTGTAGTAGCAACTTTTTTAGAACCAAATTTGCAATAGTGTCGATAAGTTCATTTAGTATTAATCCTGTTAGAGTTGAGAAAATTGATGATACATCAGATCTATTATAAATAAACATGCTGTGAAGTAGTTTAATTTGGTAGTGTAAGTTAGTTATAGTATTAGGTGTAGTATTAAGTATATTTGAGTAAGAGTATATTGTAATAAGATATCAATAAAACTAAATAATAGTTGTTTAGATGAACAAGTTGTCCAGTGAAGATGTGAACTAATTTGATAGCATTGATAACAAATAGGTGAATATGAAGAATAATGTTTATATAAAATATATGGAGTAGGAAGTTCATCTGATAGGATTTTAATTCTAAAAAATTTAAGAGTAGAAGACTGAAAACTATAAGAAAAGTTTGAGATTTTTTGATTATTGTTAATATAAAGCTAGGTGACTTGCTAGTTAACTTGGTTAAGGATTTTGTGCTATTTTTTAAAATAGTTTTGTGTTATCCAAAATGCATATATATATGTATAACATATTATACAAATACTATAACAAGTAGGTAACTCTAAGGGAAATTCTCAAAGATTAAAGTATAAGCTAAGTTGTAAGTATTATAAAATGTAAAAATAAAGTATAACAGATTGTAATAGTTACATGCTAGTTGGTTAACAAGATTGTTATATTTCTTGATAAGCAGTAACTTTGTGAAAGATAATATGAATATTATATGATTTGATGAAATTGATAAGTGTGTTTTATAGTGAGAAATATAGCATATGAGTATATAATATAATTGTTGTTGAGTTTAAGAGACTATTATATTTAGAAATTACAGATTGTAAGTTTGAATATATGTTTATAGTACAGTTTCTAGGAGCAGTAATAAGAGCTAATAAAATAGCAATAAGCTTTGACTTGAATAAGCAAGACCAATATTTAGTTTACTTAAAAGGTATAAAGTATGAAGTTATTTGAAACTTGAGCCCATCCAATACTCATTGAGCATTGTGAGGTACCCAAGTTTTGACTAAGTCATCTGTATAAAAGTGAAGTTCTAATAAGTTGAAGTTATAATTAGTAATTTGCTAAAGTTTGTTTATAAGTAAACTGTGTTCAAAAATATTTAGAATTGAGTATATTGTAATAGTAATGTTAGAAGTATATAGAGTTTAAATAGGATGTCTAATTCCATTAGAATATATAAGGTCAAGATAGTTAGTATTAAAGTTAAAAGTTTTGTTATATGTATTAGCTCGACTATAAAATTTAGCTAAAATATTAATAGAAATAATAATTGTACATTTGTTAGCTATTGTGTAAAAATTAAGATAATAGCCTAAACATGCATTTGATTAAATAAGTGAAAGAGGATAGAGGTAGATAAATTGTAATTCAATAAAACATTGCAAATAAGTTATCCCTTAAATTGTAATACAAGCAAATTTGCCTGCATTAATTTTTGTAAAATTAATTTTTATAATAAAAACTTAATAATTAATTTTAGCAATATACTTTCTAAATAAAAAATATTTTTAAAAACCTATTTTATAAACTTTGTTAAGAAACTTTTTTAACTTTATTAAAAAATTTTTAATTAATTAAAGTTTAAAGATTATATAATATTAAAGTTTTATATTAAAATATTTTTCAAGTTTTCTAAAATTTTATATATTTCTGAATCTAAAAAAATTTTTGCTCTTAAGATATGTATTAATTTTTATATATAAATTACTAAACTTGTAATAATTAAAATTGTAATCTTTAATATAAACTAAAAACTTATATTAAAAACTATAGCTTTAAAATTAAAATCTAAAAAGTTTATTATAAATAAACTAAAAAACTTTTTACAAAAAATTTTTTAAAATTGTATATTTTTAGTCTATAAGTAATCTAATTTTTTTCTTATAATTTAAAAATAAATATTACAAAAAAAATAATCCTTATTTTAAAATATTATTATATCAAATTTTATTTATATATTTCAATATTTTAAAAAATAGATTAGAGCTAAACAATACAAAAATGCAGGCAAATTTGTTTGTGTTAATCTACAATCTAAAAAATAATAGATAAATAATTTTATTTATAAAATTATAAAATTTTTTTATTAATTAATTAAAAAATAAAAAAGTTTTATTAGTGGCATATATCAAATTTAAATAAAAATTTTAATATAACTATATAAAAATGATTTATATAATCTTACTTTAAAATATAAAGTAGATAAATCATTAATAACTGAAACAAAGTATATATCAGAAAAAATAAAAAAGCAAAATAAAATCAGACTTCTAAGGATAAAATTATCAATTTGTTGAGTTAGAAGACTTAGTATCACTAAAGTGCAAAAAAAAGATTTAGTAAATAGAGCTATAAGGTTTTAAACTAAGAAAAAAACTAAAATACAAAAAAACAGTTTAGTTAATATAACTGTAAGACCCTAAATTATATTTTATCTAATGATAAAGTACTATACAAAAAACAATTTAATTAGTAGAGTTGTAAAACTTTAAACTGTATATAAAAATAATAGTTTAGTTAGTAAAAAAAGACAGTTTAGTTTATAAAGCTGTAATGCTCTAGATAATATTTTTTTATTACTTAAAAATAATGTTTATCATCTTCTATTTAAAAATGATTAAAACTATGCAAACTTGTAATTTACTGATTATAAATGTTTTCTTTTTATATTTATTTTTGTAAAAAAATAAAATAGTTTTTTTTTAAAAACATTAATAATGTCTTGAGATGAATGGTAATTTTCAAAAAAATTTTCTTAAGAAATTGGCCAATTTAGAATATTTATAATATAAAAATTTGTATAAGCAAAATATTTTATTTTTTAAGTAATAGTATGTAATCATAACCATAATTTGTAGCACTAAAATTATCAAGTTCCATTTTAAACAGTGATTAATCATATTTATGTGACAGCAAATGCAACATATAATGTAAAAATTTGTGTAACTTATACACCCTGTATAATACTTTTTTGAAATAATATACATAAAAAAATTTATATATATAAATTTATAAAAAGAATTTATTAAGTTTTTTTTATTGATGTTTTATTAAACTTGTAAAAAGTTATATTTTTTTTTAAGTTTTAATGATTATTTAATTATAAAATTTTTAATATATATTACAACTCTATAAATAAAAATAGATAAAAAAAATAGAATTTTAGTTTATATTTTAAGGTTTTCAAAAGTTTTAAACATTTTTACGTAGATAGCATATCTAACTTTTGTTTCTTAGTATATTTTTTGAAATATAACATTCTGGTAATAATCATTACTAGTTATTTTTACCAAAATATATTTTATTAAATTTGATTAGATATTTTATTAGTAGATCTTTATCTTAAATTTAAGCAAATATACAATATATATATATACATATTGTATATATAATTTTTAGAATAAAATTTTTTGTAACAACCTCAGATTAGCAAATAGTAGAGTTAGAGTTTGGGTTACACGAATTTTAATTATTTTTATTAGCTGTACTAATTGAGTTGTTACAAATAAGTGTGTAACAGGTTGTTACAATTAGATTTGTTCTAATTTTTAAATCTAAAATTGTTTAATTTTACTAAATTACACGTTGTACGTAGAGTTAATACAATTTATCTATACGTATGCTTATTCTATTTTTCACTATTCTTTAATTACCTATATGACTTAAATAAAGTAAATCTAGATTTGTTAGACCAAATGATTGTTTTTATTCTTCTTTTCAGCTGATCTTTGCTTTGCACCAATTACAGTATATTATTTTATATATTGATTATATGTTAACAGAGATTTATAACAAGTAGCATAACCTATTAAGCCAAGATTGTGAAGGTATTTATAAATGATGTTATATATAGGTGCCATTCAATAGAAAAGAGGGAGTCTTTTTTTAAATTAACCAGATTTAAAGAGGTTTCGCCCTTTTCATTGAACAGCGTCAATATATACTGTTGATAAAGTAATTTTTAGCGCAACAAAAATTTTGTTCGCGTTTCTTGGTGCATGTTCAAAGTCTGCTGATGATTAGTAACCATAATTAAATTAATTTTCGGGATTTCGTGTTGGACCCTGAAATTTTTGGACCCTTCGAGCCCAAAAGATAGGTGCACTCATGCTTAGTATTTTACATACGAAAATTGGTTTTTACTAGAGATGGGAACCGAAATCCGAAACTACAAGTTTAGGTTAGGGTTTAGATATAGTTTAGGGTTTATGTCTAGTTTTTATAGTTTTAGATTGCTTATTAATTGATATATATATATTATGAATGATTAATAATAAGCTTATAAGAATTTTTTTTATCATTTAATATTTAACATTTAGGTAAATAAATTATAGTGCAACGATTCAATTCTGACTCGGAAACCGGTTATTGGCCTTAAAAACAAAATTTATCTGATTTAGTCTACATACAGATTCAATCGACCAATCAAATTACAATGATCGTTTGTTATATTTAAATCTGTTTCTGAACATCTCTAAAAGACAAAAAACAATGTTGATTGAAGAGCATGACAAGCGTCGTGCATCATGGAGTGACATTCTCGCGATCATAGCTTTAATCTTTGGTGGTTGCTGTACAAATGTCATTGCTTTAGAAAGATTAGTTGCGTTAGTAATTGCTCGGGACATCTATCATTCTAAGTTATTTATCCAATATAATAAATAAAAACTAACTATCTCACCTTGATTCATTAGAGATGCTCCAAAAAGTGGTATGCATAATGATTGTTTTCATTATATCTATGTAATGTATAATCCTAAAGGTCCGTTTCATTTTATAGGAAACCTGTTCACTTTAGCACAATTCTTGTTCATTACCGGTGAAGGCTTTCTTTACAATCTTGATTTTTCTTCGTCCGTCCCACAACTTAAGAAACGGGGGGTTCCCTTATACCGCTGGTTTTTGCAAGTAGTAATGTTTTTTACGGTGTCAGTGTTGAATAATATAGCATTCGGATATAGGATATCCGTACCTTTACACATTATTTTTCGTAGTGGTGGATTGATTGTCAGTATGATATTGGGTTGGACAATAAGAAAAAGAAGGTGTGAAATATTATCACTTAACTTCCATATATATAAAATATATATATAATCTAATCCCTTTTTTGTCTATAAGATATTCAATAGAACAAGTTATCGCAGTTGTGATGGTTACTATTGGTGTCATTCTTGCAACTATTAGTTCATCCGATGTTGGTATGGAGGTACTAACCGATAATTAGTGTTAGATGATTATGAAATGAAATATGCATTAACCTGAAATTTATAGGGAAAATTAATTCCAACATTTCTAATATTAGGGGGATGCCACTGTTGGAACACCAGAATACGTGACTGGTATCTCGTTACTTTCAATCACATTAGTATTATCATGTTTTATGGGTTTATATCAAGAGTTTACATATGAGAAATATCAAAGCGATTGGCGTGAAGGGCTATTCTACACGGTTGGAACCATTTGTTTCTTTAATTCTACCACTGATAAAGTTAATTAATCTGCCGATCTAATTCGATTATTTTTCGGTAGCATTTTTTGGCATTACCGCTCTTTTTATTGTTTTATTCTGATATCAAAGACCAAATCCAAGTTTACAATGAATCTATGTTGACGCCACTGAGTAAGATATTACCTATTCCTGATGGATTCCAAAATATTTCGACTTGTTGTACTTTTCCAAGGACATGGGTTTACCTCTTCATAAATGTTCTTACTCAGTAAGCCTTCCAAATTTTCTAAATTTTTTTTTTATAATATTTCTATTTTTTTTTTTATAAATCTATTTCTTTTTTTTTATAAATCTTTTTTTTTTTTTGTAAATCTAATTTTTTTTTTTTAAAAAAAAAACATTTAGGTATGTGTGCATTTCGGGAGTTCATAAACTGCAATCCGTAGTCACTGCGTTAACGTTAAATCTAGTTTTGAATATTCGAAAATTTACATCTCTTGTTATTTCAATATGGTTGTTTAATAATAAGCTTCATTCCGGGATTGTAATCGGAGGTCTTTTGGTATTTGTGGGAACTTTATTATATTCCATTGGTGCTAATAAGCCTAAAGAACCGAAAATCAATGAACATTCGGAGAAAGTAAAGAACAAAAAAGATATATGATTGAAAGAGTCCGCGATACTTTAAACGTGCAAGGCACAAAGATTTTACCAGAATCCTTTTAAATAGAGGCGCATAAATATTTATTATAAACTTAATTTTATTTTGCGGAGATTGAGTCTCGCGAAATAAATTACGTAATACCGTGTAACGTTTATCAGTAATACGCGAAAGCATAAATCAATACCTGAAAACGCGAACTAATCGAATTTGCAGATCTATAAAATAAAATCCTAAATAAAATAAATTGCGAATGATTTCTTTTATACTTAAAAAATAAGATGTTTAAAGATTCGGATAAAGACATTTGGAATGCTAGAACTATTGAACGACTTGCAGAGTTAACAACTAGTTCTACCGGAAGGAATAGCATAACTAGCACTCCAGTCAAACGGGAATCCCCAAATATAGTCAGTAAAAATATAGGAAAAAAGTATAAAGCTTCCTCGTTACCGGCATCTCCAAATAAAATCAACGTTTTACAAAGACGGGTATTAGAACAGCCTAAAGTAAACACGTTAAATTCTGCTAGTAGCAATGGTGGTTTACTTACAAAGGATCGTAAAACAAATAATTTCGCAAAAAAGAATAATACCGTTAGTTCAGCGACGTTATTTGATTTTTTCAGTCGTCCAACGGAATCGAACTGTAGTCCAAATATTAGAAAAGGTAATAATAAACTTTACATATGAAAAATAATTGGATAAAATTCAAATAAATTAAATTGGCTGAATAGCCTTTTCGCATGAAAGGTACTCTAAAAGGAAAATTAGAAAATGAAGCAATCAACATAATAACGTCAAAATATTGGAATTTATCTGAAGCTACAACCATACTTAAATTGGAAAATGCTGACTCTAATAGCCAAAGTGATTCTAATGTTCTGTGTGATAACGATAATGGGAATAACATTTTTGATAATGACACTCAATATAAGGATGAAACTCTTGGTAAAGATGAGAGTACCCGCAGCTTTGTAAGATCGAATTCGAAGAAAGAATGCCCGTGGTACAAGAAATTACAGGGTAATTAAATTAATTGGATTATTTATTTTCGTAACGCGTGTTTCAATTTTCATCCCTTTCAGATACGAACATAACGGTTGATGCATTCAAGTATGGAAATATCCCGAATTGTACCGCCTACTTCCTGAGGTACAAATTGGTATTCATACGTATAAGCAAATGGCTTTTACTTCAATAAATTTATATTATTATTATTTATTATCAATTCTGCCATAAATAGTCATTTCCACTCCGACCATTATATTGGGTTATCCTCAAAATGGTCACATGGGCCTATATATTGTTCAACAGTGACTGGCAATTTAGTTATTCAGCAATTACGTGTTAAGCCTCAATATGTTCGAAAATTGCCCATGAACGAAGAGGTTGCCATTGATAAGACTAATACTACAGTCACATTAATTGATGCAAACCAGTAAGTTGGAACATTTCCTTGACACTTTAACAATTATCACATTTTTCACATCATGTCACTTATATGAAAACTTATATATAGCTGTCCGGGATCTGCATTATTTTTATTCAAAACCAAATTTGCTGACGGTAAAATTAAGCGATACCTTCATACTGGTGATTTTCGAGCATGTCCACGTCAAGTGCTTCATTCAGCAATAGCACAACCTGATAATCCGCAAATAGATATTTTATATCTTGACACTACTTATTTGAACGAGCGATATTGCTTTCCAGCTCAGGAACAGGTTGTCAATGCTATCATACAATTGATCAAAGAAGTGATTAAGAATGGTGAATTACTTCCTCTGAAGCGCATGAAGAAGACCATAAAAGAACAAGAGGATAAATCGCAGATGGTATTGGATCAATGGTTCAAAGGAAAGCCAAAAGAAGAGTTGACTCATTCAGATTCAGATTTAAACAAAGAAGAGGAGGATTCTATAGAAATTTTAGACACAAATTTATCCACTACAAGTATGAATATCGATGAAACTGAACAGAAATGTGTTAGTTTGCAGGATAGTAAAATTCTGATCGTTGTCGGCACTTATTTGATTGGTAAAGAGAAGGTTTTCTGGGGTGAGTTAACATTTATCGAATTATACGAGAAGACACAATGTAATGATATCGTAATTATCTTCTTTTTTTTTAGGTATCGCGAAGGCATTAAACTCTAAAATCTACGTGTCAGATGCCAAACGAAAAATGATTATGTGTCAAGAAAACCCTGAGTTGGAAGCGCTTTTAACAGGCAACCCTCAAGAAGCTTCTGTGCATGTTATGTATTTGACAAAAATAAAACCAGAGGTATATCAATTACATATAACCTTTTATTTATATAAATGTATTTAACAAAAATATACTGAGTGAAAGCAATTGTATAGGAATTAATATATTATCTCCAAAATCTGCAACCAACGTTTAAACATGTCATGGCATTCCGACCAACCGGTTGGGCCTATAAACCCTCTACTTGTGGGGCATTTACGACATCATCTACAACCGATGTGATATTGAATAGTGCACCTTCTTATACTATGGATTTGATAACTCCATCATATAATTCCCCAACTTGTCAAATATTTGGAGTTCCTTACTCTGAACATTCCAGTTTCCGTGAGCTTGCAGCATTCATCATGTCTTTGAATATAGGTCGAATTATACCAACAGTAAACATTGAGTGAGTATGTCACTTAAAGTTCGAAATGATTGATTGACACCAAAATTGGTTGTATTCATGTTCATTCTTATTTCAGATCTGAAGAAAGTCGGAAAGAGATGGATTACTGGCTAAATAAATGGCAGAATGAAAAGAAAAAGAATAAAAATGTTAGAATTGCACCATATTCTATTATCGATTATTGGTAGTAATATTGTTAGAGATCCTAAAATAGCAATTCAAAGATGAATTATACCGCTGCACATAATTCTAAGCTTAGATTTTAATAAAAATTTCTAGTGTTAACTTTTAAACTTGTTAAATATTGCATTTCTACGCTTATATATATTATATAATCTAATTGAGTTTTAGCATTATTACATTTGAGATCAAGAAACTGGCACATTAAATTTAAAGAGCGAATCTATTTGTCACCGGCGGTAACAGTATCGTACCAATCAGATTGCAAGATCTGGTGTAACATGAAACGAAGCAAGTTTCAAAAAATCGGGATAACTCAAAATTATGCTTATGTTACACGATTTGTAGGGTTGTTAATGGAGTGGCATACTCCGGAGCCACTCTGTAGTGAGCCCAACCCAAGTTGGAGTAGGTTAAAGATATGCCTAAAAATCTGGAGTGAACTGGAGCAGCTCTAAGCAAACCTGGAGTGGCTTCGGAGTGAGCCCAACCCAAGCTGGAGTGGGTTGAGGAGTCGCTTAACCCAACCCAACCCATTAACAACTCTAACGATTTGATTGGTCGATCACATGTTCGTGACTGTCACCGCCGGTGACAAATACATATTTCCAAATTTAAATCCGGATGATAAAGTTATTTTTTACAAATCGTCATTGGCTGCATTATCATTTTTTAGTAATACTATAAGGTGTACTTTGTGATCCAACGGACCTGAAAACGAGACGTCGAAACCCAATGACCATAATGACATAACAGTTCAAAACTCCATTATAATTTGATGGCCGTTTTATGACAGCACGAGAATCAACAATACCCGGTTTACCATTTTGTACTGGTCCATTTGCGATTACTTTCATATATCTCGTAACTTGTTCTTCTGCAGATATCAAAATTTGATTTAATGTTGTAACTTTTGGAAGATTTTCTTTGGGCCAAAACATAAATTTTCTTTCCAAAAGTTTTACTTTCATTTTCATTCTCAATACATTTGTCAAAATTTGCTAAATCATTCGTACATGGAGCTACATTCCAATCGTTTTTTATTGCTTCTATTAAACCTAAGATATTGACGTATTTTAATTCAATTATTGAATAAGATACATCCAAAAATTACATCCACAAATCCGAATCTTACATCTCCTCTTGGTTTGGTATTATTCATCAATAAACACAATTCCGGAATCCTGTTATTTGGCAATAAAAGCTCCGTTGTAATCGTAAAACGGCGAGTCAGTCGCTAATCGGTCGGATTTCTCGTGTAACCTTTAGGGTCGAAAGAGGCGTGTTAGATTTGGCGAGTGGTTAACTAGATTTTGGATGGGGTTTTCTTAATCGTAGAGGGGTTCAGGGTAGGTTATTTAAGATATGCGAACACACTTTTTGTACCTTACGGTTAGGGACAGATTATATATTATAGCAATGGCAATTATTGTTTAATAAAGATACTCGATTTACAAGCAATTTTACTATTAGTGTTTAAGCAATGTATTATGTATTATGTATTCGCTAAGGGGAAGTTGTTCTTCCCGAAGGGCCTTTCGGCCTTTATTTATAATTATCTATTTCTATTTACATTCTGCGATGCATACGACTGATGCTTCCTAAAAGCCCATTCTGACCGATCGCTGCTATCCGTCATATCCGTCATATGCGACCGATGCGACTGATGCGACCTTTCGGTCGTATACGACGGATGCGACAAATGCGACAGATGCGATCGATCTTTTCCTAATTGGGATATGGCCACCAAGCGGTCAGGGTCCATCCGGGCTCATCCGGGTCCCACACCGTAACCACTTGTAATACCACTTCATTTGCACTTAACAGCGAATAACTTGATCGCGATTTGAAAAATTTTAATAGTGTTCGCTTGAAAGCGTTTATATCGTTAATTGATTTTACAGGTTGATTCTCGGAATCAATGTGAAAGGAATTAGAGTCTATAGAACTTGCTTGTAAGATAGGATTCTTTTTTCTTTTTTTATTGTTTACAGCATTATGAGTATTTGTATGGTTCCTGTTTTCCATATTTTCACTCAGTTTTGTTTCAGATGACTGTATGAAAAAGAAAAAAATCATAATATTAAAATTAGAATAGCTAAGTGCAAAGCATGACAAACACAGTCACACTCTCATATAATCACATCAGGACCTGTAAAAAGTGTTCTTATATAGAAATATGCTTAAAAATGTGCTTATATAGAAGAAGTGCTTAGAATATGCTTATATAAAAATGTGTTAGAAAGTGTTTATATAAAAAATGTGCTTAGAAAGTGCTTATATAAAAAGATTTTTATTTTAAACATTTAATAGTAGTTGGTTCAAAAGATAATGTGCTTATAAATAAAATGTGCTTATATAGGATGCTTATATGGAAGCATAACCTTATAAGTTCTAAATTTTCTTGTTTTTGTAGAAGGCATATAACCAACTTCTCCTCTAAAGTTAGTTGACCTTCTCAAAGAAATTTGGAAATGGCCAGATGCAGGAGACTACATCTCTATTGTGACTTCCAGTATGTAGGCGTTAGTTACACACTCAAGTTCAGCTACTTGTGAGATATCTCTTATTAGTATATAAGCAACAAGAACACAAGAGTCTGGCAAAAAAGCCCTACTCCAAATATACTTTGTTTTAAAAAAAATATGTGAAATATATGAAACTTATTTTCTTTTCTTTTAAGAGTCTTTTGACTATTTTATGAAGTTCATTTGAGCTTTTTTTATCATCACTTATAATACTCCAAGCTTTATAAAAAGTTATGTGAGCAATTCATTTATTATTGTTATTATCTAACCAAGTGTCATAGTAATATATTAACCAGTTTGGATATGGAATAACTTTAAAATATTTTGCACAAAAAGCTTTTCATTTTTTAATTTCTTTGAATGCTATTGAAAATATATATTTTTTTTTTTCAGTATTAAGGTGACCTCTTTGGTCTGAGCTTTTTATTAATACTTATAGCGAGTATATGTTTTATATAGACAGATCTATAATAAACTATTAAACGAGTGTACAACTGGCTACACATATAACTTTTCTATATTACCTATTTAAGGAGTCTACCTGAGGGTTCCCCACCAGTTGCCGTACCTAACACCCCTGCTTAGATGTTTCATTTAAACCCTTTGATCTAATTCTAGTATTAATTTCACCAGATCACAGACCTGGATCTATTCGCAATCGACCATAGGACTATAATCCTTAGACTATTTTTATCCTCGAGGTAAACCTACCAGAGCGAGCCATATTCTCTTTTACTGCTAACCTGGCTTAACGCTATGACCGGGGCCAATACTTGCAGTCAAGGTTATCCCTTAAATCGCTATTACCCTTGTAAAGTTCACCTAAACCCTGGTACCCATCTTTCTGACTTCTTCTCCATCATCTCCTACTAGCCACAACTCGGAACTATCTAACTCCCCAGACTCCCAATCCAGATAGCCCGGTATGGTATACTTATGTATCCTTTTCCTCTGGTGATTCTGGCAGCCTGGTTGGTCATATGCTCCTCTACACATCTTTGTCATCTGGTTTATCTGACAGTTCCTATAAAGGTGTTTCATGGGCTTTCATCAGTCCAATGGCACCATCAAAAGTTTGTGCTACCTCTTTACTTGGGATTTCCAAGTAGGTTTCCGTCTCTTCAGTTTCTTTGCCTTCTACATCCAGGGGACTTATCATGAGTTTGCCTGAAGCCTTATATGACACTGGTTTTACATTCCTCTATATACATGTACCATGTAACATTATACTTCGCATAGATGCCCTGAGCTCCCAATGTCAGGTGGGGCCCGACTTGGTGTACCTAAGATTACAGATGCCTAAAACCAAACCAATAGGTAGAGACAGTTACCATAACATAAGTATAATTTTCAAAATTCGTCATCTATGGGAATTGAACCTTAGACCTGCCACTTGGGGGTTGACAATCTATCCACTTCACTAGGTCGCCACACTCCTGTAAACAGTCAGTTATTAAAGTATTGTTTAATATGTTCTTTAATAAAATTAAGGTCTGTTATAGTATCGTTTAGTGTTTTAATATTGTTAATTTTTACAAGATTCTTGTGATAATTGAGTATGTTATTGATTATTGCTTTAAAATTAGTTTGAAGTTTAAAACATTAATTAGTAATATGTTGAATTATCTGTTTTTAGATTTGCTTAATGTTTTTTATATTATAAATATAGTAAAGAGCTTGCTATTTAGTTTAGTGCTAGTAATCTAGCTTGGTATAAGTTCATAAAAATTAGATATAAAACAGATATTAAGTTGGTATGTTAAATTAAGATAAGAGATAATATGATTAAGATATATTAGTATTGATGTTGTATTAGTTAGAAAAGCTTTTACTTGTCTAGTAATACTGTTTAATTTTTTGAAATTTTAGTGAAGTAAAGTAAATTTAGCTAAAAATAAGTATTAGAAATTACAAATTGTAGTTTTTTTGTTAGGAATATATTTAGTAACTGCATTAATAATACAAGTTTGAATTTATTTCAAGTGGTTTTAAAAAATTTAAAGATTTAAATAAAAAAAGAAGTTTTGTTTTTAGTAAGGTTAAGGGTAACTTGATTAGCAAAAAATTTTAATTATTTTTTATTTATTGCTTTATAATTAAAAGTTCTTCTTGGGTTAGAGTTAAGTGTCTGTTTTTGTTTATAAAGACATATGAAAAAGTTCAAGAAAATATAAGAATTTTGTGATCACTTTGAGTACAGTTTTTTGTATTGTTCAAGTAAAATAAATTGAAGTATTTAAGTAAAAAAAGGTGGGCCCAGATGTAATTGATAGTACTGTGATGTTTACTGCTATGCTAAGTATAAAAGAAGATATTTGTATAATTAGCTAGATTATAAATGTTATTATATTATAGGAATTGTAATAGTTTGTATTTGATAAATAAAAAGATAAAGTTATTAGATAACATATTAAAGTTAACTAGTATTATAGGTTGAATGTTTTAGTTAGTTGCTTGTTGAATCTATTGAATAATAATATTTTAAATTTGAAGTTTTAGTTGTAAGTTTTCATATAATAAATAAGTAGAAATAATTTAAAATTTATGATTATACTGTATTTGAAAAAGAGATCAATAGTGATAGCATAGCCAAAAAGAGTAAAGATGTTATATATATAAAATATAAGTTGTTTGTAAATCATAAATGCAGTTCTTGTTTTAGAACTATTAGTATAAAACCAAAAGTAAAAGTAATGTTTTAAGCTGTGAAATTTAGTAATAGCATTGTTTTTTGCTATTTTAGTTTCTGTAATACTAATAATATTCAGAAAATAAGAGATACAATAACCTTTTCAAACTTGTTTGAGATTTTTATTATATTCTTAAATATTATAAATACAAATTGTTTAAAAGTAATGATATAAGAAAGATTAATGTATTGAAGAAGAATATATAATTTGAAAGGTTAGCTATAGAATGCTATAATGATAGAAAAAAATATTTAGACAAAGATTTAGATTTATGAGATAGATAAATATAAACTTTACTTATAGTATATTTAAAAGATAATAGAACTGATTTTTCAAAATAATTGTTAGCAGAAAAGTATTAAAAGATATATGAATTAAATATTGATGTGTATTGTAATGTTGAAAAAAATAAAAGTTTGTAGTATTAAAAAAACTTATTGTAGCAAAAGTCAAGATAGTAGTAATCAATTTTGTTCTAATTAAGAGGTTTATTTAATAGATTAATAAAGTTTATATAAAGTTGAACATTATATTGAATGGCAATTTTGTTAACAAGATAATATTAGAAAATTGTAGAATTATTTGATATAATTTAAAAAGTGATGTCTGGTTCATTTTTTTCAAAAGAGTTGGATGAAATAGTATTTGAGAAAATTAAGTTATCTTTTGTAGAATCACTTACTATATGCTTAATTTGCATAACTGTACAGAATACTATAACCTATCCTGTACATTAGGTTTGATTATTATTAACCTGATCTTCTGTATAAATAGACTTAACTATCTGTTCACTTATATTATTCTTTTCTAAGAATAGTTTACTAACTGTAAAAGACATTATTATCTTAAAAGTAATAGCTACATTTATAAGTTTTACAAAAGAATTTATTGAAAAAAATTATGTAAAAGTGTTGTAACATAATTAGGTTGTAAGTTCTATTTATTGTTTTAATTTGTGTTATTGGTATTTGAGTTAAACATTAAAATGTTATTATTTGGAATTTCAAGTAAATCGGTATTGTCTTTAAGTATTAAAAATTTAAATTTAGCAAAAGTGTTTAGATTAGAAAAAATGAATTTGGTTTTAGATAAATTAAATTTAATATTGAATTTAGAAGGAAGTGTGGCAACTTAGTAAAGTAGATAAGTTGTCAACCCTTCAAGTAGAAGGTTAGAAGTTCAAAACTCACTGACAGTAAAAATTTGAAAAAACCATCTATGCTATATCAGTATTACTAAAGATAACTAATATTACAACAATGGCTTTTTGTTGATTAGTTGGAATTAGATACTTGTAATATGATTATACTAGCATGACTGGCAGAGCATAGGTATACTTGCTGATAAAATCTGAACAAATCCCAAACCTCAAAAAAACAATTTGCTTTTATAAAAAATCAAATCAATAAAATAATTTTGATATTTTGTAAATATATTATATATAACTATAAGAATATAAATTATTTGTTTAAATAAAGATTATTAATAAAGTTTTAGAGATATTAATTTGGACTTGAGTTTGGGATTTGAGCATGAACAAACCCAAACTATAATAGTTTGAAATTTAGGTAACAAGTATAGTTATAAGGCATCTGCGCAATATTGGAGTTATACAAATAAATGCAAACCAGCATTGGGCAGTGCAAACCCAAGATAAGTTCTTGTAGTCATATAAATCTGTAAACTAAGAAACTAAAGCCTACTTGAAAAACCCAAATAGAAAGGTAGCACAAATCTTCAACAGTACTACTGTAAAGGCTAGATCTAGAAAACAGATACTAATATAAAAGAAATTAGATAAGCAAAAACC